CGGGGGACCTCCATGGGACCTTATTTCGGAAAAAGTATGTATTGAAGTCAATGGAGAGAGAAAGATTATCTTTCGATCCCGTTTGAATTGTGCTACAAATTACACATATGATGTTTGTCAATTTAACCCTTGGATGCATGAACGACCAATACCTACACGATGAGTCAAAAATGACCCCAATTAGAATCAATGTGTTTTTGCAATGAATTAAAAAAATGTCTTTAATTTTGGTTAAAGGTGATTATATTTATTATATTTGGGTCAACAAAAGACTGATTTTACATTTAACATGCTTATTTATAACTTTTTATAAAAAAAATTAACAAGAAATAACATAAAAAATCTTCAACAATTATTGTTAGTATGTCCATCTGTCTGGAGGACAAAAAAGAGAATGAACATACATAAGACCAGAACACTGTCCACTCACATGTGCCCACACAAACGTCTTTTCTCTTTTCACTGTGTGCAGTTGTCACAAACTATTTGCTTTTGGCTGTGACCATTGCACACTGGGGTACTGCATTTCCAACAGCAATTGGTGGCTTTGCGATCTTTGTTTCTTGGACACATCTGGCACCTCTTTCTCTTCTGTTGGCCCTCTGTGCTTCTCTCCTGTTGCTGGTTTGCAGCTTTTGTCACTCCACACCTTCCCATTGCTTCAGTGATGTAGGTTGGTAGGTTCGGGGTACCTTCCAGTCGACTTTTCATGAGAGGAGTCACAAGCTCCTTTGAGAGCTCTGTGAGGAAATGTCGCCGTGCGTTGGTGATACCTGTGGAAATTTCAGGGTGCTGAGCCCTGAAAAATGAGTAGGCGTTTAGAGTGGCTATATCAATCATGTTGTACCACAGCACCATGGGCCACCTCTGTGTCTGGTGCTTGTAGGTGTAGTAGCCAACCATCTGGTCAACGGTATCTACACCTCCTTTGGTCTGGTTGTAGAAGAGGATTATTTCTGTTTTTTTCTTTTGGCTGTTTTCATCCACCATCTTGCTGTGGTGCATTGTGCTGAGAAGCAGTACAGCCTTTCCCTTTTTTCTGATATAGCTGATCATGGTCATGCTGCCATTGAACCCAAATTCAGTGCTGTGGACCTCCCTCGACTTGGAAGCCTTCATCACTGGAGGGATGTCTGGCTTGTTCTGTCGCAACGTTCCCACAATAGTCAGACCCTTCTCCAGGAGATGCTCTGCAAGAGGCACACAGGTGAAGAAGTTGTCTGTGGTGATGTTGCGACCTGTGTGTCTGAATCCACTGCACAACTGACGGACAGTGTTTTCCCCTATATTCTTCTGGACTTCTTCCCCTGGTTGTCTCCCTGTGTACACAATTCCATCAATTGCATAAGGGGTGCGTGCATCACAAACCCAGAATATCTTTATGCCGTACTTGGCAGGCTTGCTTGGCATATACTGCAAAAACGTGGTCCTCCCTCGAAATGGTACAAGTTGTTCGTCCACTGTGACACAATCACTGGGGATGAATTTCTGCCTGCAGTTGACCAGGAACAGGTCCCATATGTAGCGGAAGGCTGTCATGTGGTCTGTTTCCAGTCGGGAGGCTCTGGTCCTCTTGTCATCAAAGCGCAGCAAACGGCGAATATCTTCGAAACGTTCAATTGACATTGTGGCCTTGTACATTGGGTTGTGTAGAGGACTCCCAAAGAGCACACGGATTGGTACATCCCAGTTTTTCTCACTTCCTGCAAGAATGTCAATCCAATGAAGGCCATGAGCTCCTCTTTGCTTAGATTTTTCCACTCTTTTCCTCTGTTTGTTGCGACTCTTCTTCCCTCCATGTTTGTGCATCTCAACACCTCTTCTAATATACTATCAGTGATAAACAGCTTCCATGCATCTATTGGAGAGACGGTGCTAAACCCAGGTGCAGGCCCTGACCGACTTCTCAGTAAATTGTGGCTTGGTGTTTTAGCCTGGGTGGGAGGTAACTCCGCCCAGTAAGAGCCCTTGCGGCTCATTCTGTTGGACACAATATCCATTTCCTCTTCGGAGGACTCAGAGGACTCCTCCGTGTCTGACTAATCTTGTTCGGCAGGGGCAGGTTGGTTGGTTCCCAGACGGCCTGACATGTCCAGGTGGACAATAATCTGGATCCTCTACATCTGAGATGTCAGATCCCGAGTCAATCCCACCGATGGGCTCTTCATCCCATCCGTTCAGGATCATATCTCGAGCAACGTCTTCGGGTATCCTAGCTGGCCTCCAAGTAGCCATGATAGTCTAGATGAGAAAACATAATACAGACAATGTTTGAATGACACACGAAACTATAAATCAATATGTAGCTATCTAAGTAAATGTCTGTGCATTTATATGTAAGTAAAGGCACATATGTACATGCATGTGTGTACACCCACCCACACACCAATCAATATTCAATAATCATATAATGGGTTACCTAACAGGTTAGCTTTTATTAGAAGGAATTATGAATACAGTGAGTCTCTACACAACAAATGCAGTAATATCAGCTGGCTTACTAAGCTAGTGTAATGTTAGCTAGCTTAGTAAGCTAGTGTAATGTTAGCTAGCTTAGTAAGCTAGCTAGCTAGCTTAGTAAGCTAGCTAACAGAGTACTAACATTACTACTAACATTATTTTGTAGTTAGCTAACTAGTGTCTACTTTGTTGACTAACATGATACTCTATCACAGAAAAGTCATGGAGTTGATAAATGAAGATAATACTTACATTTATGCTGCTGTGTCAAACTGACCTCCTGGTGGTGAGACTGCATAAATGAGACTGGGTAAATGGTAAATGCTGATCCGTGCATTAATAACAACAGCACAGACATAGGCCTATTATAAAGAGAAAATCTGTTTCACACGGGGTGGTGCCACAGGTCTACATTTACATGAAACGTCCCGATGGATCATGTTCATGTCAACAGATTTCCCGAGCATGTATGGGCTACGCAAACTTCAATCAACTTGATAATAAATAATCCACGGACCACCAATGTAACGTTTGACTTTTTAATTAAATCAACTTAAAATGACTCAAAAACAGGCTACATTGTTTCACATGGGCTATAGCCTATTATGGCTGTAGCCTACACAGAGCCGAACACACGCGATAAGAGCAGCCAGCGGCACCAACCATGTACAATATTAATAATACAGCTATAGCACAACACAACCCTCTCACTGCCTGGAGAGACGCGACGCCACACACACAACACAACGGCTCGTCTTCTTGTGTCTCTTCAGCCCCCAAGTTAACGTTAGCTGTCAAGTTAGCACTAGCACTGACGTTAGCTCCCTCCTCTCTCGGTTCTGTTGTAGCAGCAGTCACAACGTACGATGTGCTACCACCAGCTACATTCGGTTGGTCTTCTTGATCAGGTTGTTTGGCCGTCTTTTTAAAGAAATTGCCCAAGGTAAGTTGTTTTTTTCTTTTCGACATGTCAGCAGCAGCAACAATACCTGGTAAACATGCAGTGCTAACTAAACGAGCTTGTGGGTAGTGGGTGGAGCTGCGGGCAGTGTGCAAGCAGGCGACACCTTTTTCATGAATCATAAACTCTAAATATAATTTTATTTCACTTATTTTACACCTTTAAAAAAAAAAAACATGCCCAAAATGGAATTTATTTGGTCATCATATCAGTATTTTAGAGAGCTCCCCCCAAATTTCACAAACCATGTTCCCAGGGGAGCTCATGTCACCACTAGGGGAGCTATAGCTCCCCCTGCTCCCCTCCAGTTCGCACCCTGACAGTTGGTAAGAATCAAAGGTTCCCAAAGCAAACCCTTGAGATTCTGTAGGAAATGCTTGGGGTCATTTTTGACCCCGCTTATGAAAAACTGGGGTAGTGACACAAAAACTGCAAAATCTTAAAATGTATAAAAACATTAAAAAAAATTCAAATGGCCTCAAGTCACAAACATGTTTTATGAGGAATAGGCCTACCTGGAGTATGGAAGTGTAAAAGCTTTTAATTTCAGAGATTTTGAAGAATAACAACTCTCGGGGTCATTTTTGACCCCACTTATGCATCTAAGGGTTACAAGATAATTTTGCAAGTCAAAAAAATTAAAATGTGTCCTAAAATTGTGAAGTAACACTTATTTTTGTGTGAAACCGCTCAATGAACTACATCTCCCATCTCGCACCACACACCAAGATGGCCGTCACGTTGGCCCATTTCACTTCTTTCTTTCAGAATGAGGCAAAAAGTATTAAAAGAGGTGAAAATCACTACAAGTCTGGGCATGTTGAGAGCTGTGCATACACACAAGGGGAGTTAGTCGGTTCCGTAAGAAGAGCCAGCATGCGGGACCGGGATTCTGGGATTTGTAGTCTTTTTAGTTGCGTATTTTTCGTAGTCTTATATTTCAACAGTTTTACGACAAACTGTGACTTTTTTGACGTGGAAATGATTGTTTTAAATTGACAAGCATCATATGTGTAATTTGTGGCACAATTCAAACGGGATCGAAAGATAATATTTCTCTCCCCATTGACTTCAATACATAATTTTCCGCAATAAGGTCCCATGGGTCGGAAGTAGATGGGCAAGAACAACTGGTGCAAGAAGATCTGGATGGACTGAATGAATGTGTATGTGGATGCATTTGCTTGCACATCTGTAGTAGGTTCCTGGGTGCATCTGTGATGGTAGTTTGCATATTAGGGTCATGAATGATGTTTAAAATGTAAACTCCAAGGCAGAAGGAGAGACATGCTGGATGGTTGAGTAGAATATGTGAGCTGTTTGCGCTCTATTATAGTCAATTTATAGTTTTTAGGACTAATCAAAACAAATATGAAAACAATACAATCTTAGTATATCGTGTTCACATATTATATGTATACAACATAATGACACAAGACAACAAATATACTCATATTACCACAACAGAAAATATATTGGTTCTTTTTGCCCAGGTGACTATACCTGCCTTTGGAGGAGCGGATCTCACGCGCAGTACAAATGGAGAATGTCTGACGTCAGTATCTTGATAAACGCATGCGCAACGTTCAAAAATGTAAACGCAAGAGGAGCAAAACGGTGGGACTCTTCTGTGTACAAGCTACAGGAACAGGTGAGATGCAATTGTTTTACCATATGAACTTTTGAGTGGGTATTTTCATCGGTGACATTACTAATTCAGCTTGCTAACTAGCTCACCAACATAGCTAACTACATTTAATTTCCTAATTACTTGCTACACAAACTGCATTTTTAGCCTGGCTTGCTAGGTTTAATTTAGCTAGCTAGCCTTCCTTTCCATACACTAATGGTGCACAGGTGTTTTTTGCTTGTCTTGATAGTTTTAATTAACCAAACTAACCTGCACTTTACTACACTAATGCTGCAAAATAGGTGTTTATAGCCAGACATGCTAGGTTTTATTAAGCAAGCTAGCATGCACTTCAGTACACTAAGGCTGGTGTTTTTAGCCATGTATGCTAGGTTTAGCTTAGCAAGCTAGCCTGCACATCAGTACACTTATGCTAACTATTTTGAATGTTGACAACCAACCTCACACATTTAATTAAGGTGACTACATCTAATGAGCTGTTTAAAAATGAATACATTTGTTTGTATACAAAAATCCTCAACCATTTAGCTCATAACATAACAAAAATGCTTTAAGTTAAGAAACAAATTAAATGTGCAGATATATCATAAAGAGAAATAAAGTTTTGCGGCTGTGGGCCTAACTAGCACATGTTTGGAGTTTGTACTACTATGTATCTATCTGACCCTGTGTATCTATCTATCTATCTATCTATTCAATCCCCCTAAATTTCCTTGATCCTCACTCCTGCTCCTCCAAAATGCACAGTGTCGTCGTGATTATACACGTTGGAAGACATCACTCACGATTGGGCTGGGACACTTCAGCGTGTGTGTTTAAATTGCTCCCAGTAGTATCCTCAATCTGTGTGGAAATCAATATGGCTTTTACTGTCACATTGAAGGGGCGGGGACCATGTATTGATGTTCAGATGTCATTTCAGGGGGATTTTATGTTTCTGTCCCCTCTTCAGTAAGGAGATGGCACAATAGATCAACTGATGATGTCTACTTGCTTTCTCCTGGGTTTTACTGGAGCCTTGCGTTTGATGTAGAGTTGAGTCAGAACGTGCTGAGCTTACAAAGGAAAAACAAAACGAAAAGGTTTAGGGAAATATTCTATTGATTGTTTTTTATCAGGAAAGCTGTTTGAATCAAAGCCGGATATCTTAATAGGGTTATCATCGTAAGCTTCAAACCCAGGACGAGCGCTCTGAACAGACATTATCACACACTGATGACACCACACACATACACAGGCATTTTATCCATCCACAGGGTTATCGCGGGGTCTTAAAAAGTCTTACATTTGATAATCAGAATTGAAGGCCTTAAAAAGTCTTGAATATGATCAAAAACATTAGAAAGGTCTTAAATATGATCGGATTTGAAAGGTACTTCTGTGTTGCGATCGCGTCTAAATATGTTTTGGGGGAAATGTCCGGGCTGCAAAGTAACCTGTACGGTAATAGCCTTTCAGTTCCCCCCAACAATTTGTATTGAAATAAATCAACATGGAACCAGTAATCACTAACTTTGCATCCCCCCGGCCCCTTATTGGAGAACACCCAGCTAGTGGCAGTCAGACAGGAACTCGGGTATCTTCGAATCTACTTACAAATAAATATGGGGAAGTGTAAGTTCAACTGTATTTGGTTGGAAAACATCGAATGTAGTGCTTGGTTGAAACCAGTGGAGGGGAACGTGTTTCTCTCACACACACACACACACACACACGCACACGCACGCTTTGGCTAACACAGTTCTGTGTACTGGTAGGCTGTTATGTTCAGTCATCGTTCTCATGTTGAACATGAATACATTTACTTTGAAAGTAATTATGGGACGTATTTCTTCTTTCATAGCAATTGTCCTTCATACTTTCTTGCTGTGAAATAGGTCTTACATTCTATTCAAAGTGGTCTTAAAAAGGTCTTAAAGTCTTACATTTGAGTTGGTGAAACCTGCAGGAACCCTGCATCCAGTATAGACAATGTTGTGTCTCAATGCACAGTTACTGCTCCTACTTGTAAATATAATTGTTTTGGTCTTATTTTGTTTTAGTATTGGGAAGATCTTTTATACACAATTAAACATTTTTTAAAGTGAGGGGATTGATGAAGTACTGTAGAATTGAATGCAGTTTATATACTTATAGAGGGCTTTTCACAGACACAAGATGGAGCAATACCGGTTCAAAGCAGTATTCAATGCTTTGTTCAGATTAGATAAGGCCCATGTCAGAAATGATCATGCTTGTCATAGGTCTATTTCCATAGAGGCTGAATCATCATGTTAATCGTTGTCACATAGCTTATCATATGCTTACAACAGTGTGTCATGCTTTGGGAGAACTCAAACCTCCAACTTATCATCCAGGTAAGCATATTTTACTGCGTCATTCATGTTAGGCCTTAATCATATGTTTTGATTACGGTTGCTTGTGGTACGCATTGCACGCTCATCACAACTTTATTGAAATGTCAAAGCTGCTTGACACATGGAACCGATGCATGACAGATGTTAAACCTGTCAGTTGTTATATCATTGTTTTTATTTTTTGTAATTTACCTAGCAACAGGTGACGGAGCCTTTCTTTGCCTTGCCACTGCATCAGAAAATAAAGCCTTCTTAATTTAGAGTTCTGTGCTGCCTTACAGTGCAACACAAGCTAACAGAATAAGCCAAATCACCTTTCTTGAAGTTTTCTGTATTATTTACATTGTAATGAGTTTTTGGTTTACATTTTTTGTCAGCTTCCTCATCCTCTTTCATTGACCCCTTTTTAATATGGAGCTTGCTTTATTTGCAGAGTTTATTTTTGTTAAACGCCATCAATCATCTCTTTCACACATCTTGTTCATATATTTATAGATTAAGCTTTTCTCATCAGTCCCAATCCCTCTCTGTTCCTGTCCCACTGTTTCTCTCTAAAGAGTCTCGCCTCCTCCATGACAGCCCGTGAGCCCTAGAGTCACATTTCAGGCCTGGCTGCTACTTAAAGGCCCATAATCTGCTTGGCGAATGGCTACAGTGTGAAGGCCTGAACGGAAGCAAATTATTCGCTTTAAGGACTCCTGCTGCTGTGGGACCCGGGGCTAGTGGCTGGTGCCGTTAACGTGAACACACACACAGTGTGCAAGCCATCATTATTTATTTAACCCGTTAAGTGTTTAAAGTGGAAGGAGTCCACCGGGAAATGGCTTGGTTGATGAAATTATTCCACATATATATATATATATATATATGGTTAAATCCTTTAGGGAGAGGAGCAAGGGAACATGGAAAGATGAAGCCTACCTACATTTCCAGATGCAAGGCAGATCACATGATAACAGAGTGGTTGCTTAACCGACATATACCTCACAACATGGGAGGAAGTCACTGGGATAATGTAAATGTTTCCTGGCCTCTGTGAGAGATAGTGTCAGACAAGAATAAAATGCAAAAGTGTTTGCTGTTGTGTCTGACAAAGTGTTACCAATTGGTAGTTTCACATAATGCCACTACAACGAACATGAGTTGTTTAGCAAGCCCTGGCTGAGGATAAATATCTTCTAGCATTCACAATGTCACTGGCAACCCTGATTCTCCTTGAAGCATGTGTGTGTTGGTTCACACACACTGTTGTGTGTGTTGGTTCACACTGTAACCGTGTTTCTGTGTCCAGGTGCATCTGTTTGATCACAGTAATATACAGAAGGGATAGCATATTTGTTTTCTCTGTGTGTGTGTGGAATAAGGAGCCCCAGCATTAATAAGTAATCATTGGATGTTGGCCCTCCCATAACATGTTGGACCAGCAGCACTTGCCCCCAGTAATGACACCATTACAGGGCCGAAGTAGCCAGTTGAGGGTTTACCTCTGGGAATTACTTCTCTGTCTACACTGTGCCTCAACTCCTCGTCATATGGGCTGGGAGATTGTAGTGTTGGACCATCAGTACACAGATGGTTTCCTTTACTCACTATAATACCCATGAGATACACACATTACAGTCTTCAGATATGATTCATTAATACACATACACATGTTTAGTAAAATAACCCAAAGAGCTCAGCTGTATCTAAACCCATCTGGGGGAAAAAGGCATTAACCGAATGCACTCAACAATTTGGGGAATGTTGTGGGGGCGAGTAATTTTTTACAACACAGGGAGAAATGTAGCTACTATTTATTAGATAATATAAATATGGTGATGGCAAGTAGAGAGAGGGGGGGCCTGAACAGATTGAATGGCTAATGAAATGGGTACCTCCAGGCCTGAATAAATTCTCTGGTCTGGCGATCCCCCAGGATGCTGGCCTCCCAGGGAGATTAATGACCACTGGGCCATGGTATAATGAAGTAGTTTGCCTTGGCAATGTGCTTGTGAATTCATCACAGTGTCCACAAGTGGGCTGGCCGAGCACAACGTCTTTATAAATCCCCCCTCTATCTTCTCTCCCGCTGCTGATTTATGGTTCCGCCACCCCCAAATGGTTTGGCCCCTCTCACCAGACCCCGCCCTGGCTGACCATCACCATCCTGCCGAAATCCAGGTCACTGCACTGATGGGGAAGAAATGGGAGGCTAATCAGATAATGGGAGGTGGAAATGGGCGAGAGTGAGTCTGAATCTTCCATCTCTCAACTCCTCCTCTGCCTGTCTCCATTTCTTTCCATGTAAGCACTCTCAAGCACATAAACTTGGATGAGGTGTGTGTGTGTGTCTTACACATCTCTAATCCACAATGATATAGTGAACGGCAACAGATTCCCCTTTGGTCTTAATAAGGAAAACAATGATTTTCAAATTAAAGCTTTTTAATGCTGAACTCATTTCAGCATGTAATGGATGCTGTGCACACCTAATTGTTAATACATGTTGGCTATCTCCTGTGAATAGCTTAGCCCTAAATGCATTCCCACCACAGGCCAGGCGTTTGTTACAGTTCTGTGCCCCCTGCTGCTGAGACATGGCTAGCCACTTAATGGCTGAGGAGGACTGATGAGACTTAATGTTGCACAACTCTGTCAGCC